TCGGTATTTTTGATTTTCACTCAAGTGTTGCACTATTAACGTTTTATTGTGATCTGATTTTTTTTTTGTCCAGCTGAATTGCTTTTCAAAGCATTTTAGCCCTTAAACTTGACCCAGTGCTAATTATATGTAACGAAATCACATGAGTTTACTATTGATGGTGAAAACAGCAGCTGGTTGCCTTAATTTTTACCTGGAGGCCCATACGAGTGCCATCACCAGCGTAATAGACTTTGCCGTTTCTTGCCAGAAGCAACGCCATATGACGGCTCATTTGTAGATCGGACGCTTGCGCTAAAGTGAGAAAAAAAAATCCCCCATACTGTCAGTGCGAAATCTGACAAAAAAAAAAATTATTCTAATTGTACTAATTAAAATTTTTGTTTTTTTTTAAACTTTTTTTTTAATTGGAATACTATTTTTGAAGTACTTGTCGCGCACTGTTAAAAAAGGAGGAGGGAGCGGCGGGGGAAGGGGAGGCAGGAGAAGGGGCGGAGGGGATCAGTGAGGTGTAAAAGCCTGCTTAGGTATCCATATGGAATTATGTGGATAAGAAAGACTCAAGATACAGAGGAATGAAGAAGTTTTTAGTTGCATCAGTGGCAAGAAAAAATGCGACGACCAAGCAACAACTGGGCAAAGTTTGTGAAAAAATATACTGCTCTTGCTCAACGCTCCAGTCAGTATTTCTGATAATAAAAGATGGCGCTTACCCTGAAGAGATTTTGGAAGAGTGAGCGGCAATTCATGAGGTATTGGGCATATTTCACCGGCAGCAATGTAGTTCAGTTCAGCAAGACGGAATTTCTGGATCTGTCGAGCATCCCGGACTGGCATAAATGAAAAGTCCAGCGGAATAATCTAAAGTTGAAAAAGTGTAACTCTAACGTACTCAGTTTCGAAATTCTCAAAAAAGTTATGTTGAAAGAAGAAAGAAAATTCACCATGAAATTCCACTGCTCATCCATGTTTGCTTGAAAGAATGTTGTACCATCAGTTAAAATTGCGCCTAAATAATAATTCGTAATAACTGGTAAAACCTCAAGATGCTTTCATCAAAAATTATGCGAGCGTATTCCATAAGCTACATTACTCACCCATCCC